ATCAACTATAAATTATATATTAATAATATAGGCTGACATTTAAGCAAATCAGCCAGGCTGATTTTAATAAAATCTCAATAAATAATAACAAAATAAATAAAATAATAATAATAAAATAAATAAAATAAAAAATTAGTAGCTCTTGTAATTATAAAACAAAAGGTCTATTAGTATTATATAATTATTATAAAGTATTATAGTTATGTAATTATTGTAATACATAAAGTTATACTAGCAACTAATTTAATAATTCTATTACAATTTCAAATATGCTAAATTTGAATCTATATAAATACTTTTTAACTAATTAAAATGTATTATATACTAATTTTAATTGGATAAAAAAAAATTTAAAAAAATTTTTTTAAAATTTTTAGATTAAATACTAAATTTTTAAAAACATAGTAGCTTTAAACACTTATAACTTTAAATTTTAAACTTTTTAAAAAATTTTAGAATGCTGATTTTAAAGGTTTAATATATGATTGTTGGTTTTAAAATAATCAAATCCTTTTTGAATTAATTGCTTTTACAATTTTTCACTTCAAACCTTATTTATATATTATATAAGATTAAACAGAAGATTTATTCTTTTGATTACTACATTATTAAAAGCTATTTCCAATAAAAAAATTACTAAATAAATATAAGGTGTACAAACACAGGTAATATATAAATTATATAAATTGTACATATCAATACGTATAAACTATTGTATATAATACATATATATACAGTATATATATATATATATTACTAATATAATTTTTGAATTATATATCACTACTTTTTTTCCTTGTTATATACAATTCTTTTCTTTTTATCTGTGTTTTTCTTTTATCTTGTGCTTTACCTTCTATTGTTTACTTTTCTTTTCTTGTGTTTTATACTCTTTTTCTTGTTATTAGCATTCTTCTTGCTTTCTGTGCTCTTTTTCTTCCTGCTACTATGCTTTTCTTTTTGTCTATATTCTTTATAATCTAGTTATCTGAACTATATATAGTATGTACCTAAACTTCTAGGTATGTGAATACTAGTGCTTAAACTCTAAACTTTGAAATTCACTAGATGTTTAACTTTAAACTTAAATTTTAGATTTTTTTACATTAGTATAAAGCCTCCTAAACAACTAAGTTGAAAAGTAAAAATAAATTTCTATATTATATTAGATAAACTCTATAGAATCTATATTTACAATAAGTGGGCAAAACCTACATGCTATAATGAGCGAAACTTATATGCAACAACCAGGCAAAACTTACATACTACAAATAAATGAAACTTACATGCATATGCAACAACCAGATGAAATTTATATGCAACAACTAGACAAAGCTTATATGCAACAACTAGATGAAATTTACATGCAACAACCAAATGATACTTACATGCAACAACTAGGCAAAGCTTATGTTCAACAAGTATGTGATAAAGCTTATATGCAACAAGTAGGTGGTTAATTTTACATGCACCAAGTAGGTGGTGAACAACTTATGAACAATGAAACATATAAAAATAATATAACTATAATCTTTAAAATATTCTTTCTAGTGTATATTATTTTTAACTAATCATCAATTATGCTTTTGTTTGTTATTATTAGCCTTTTAATTTATCTAATTTATCTTCAAATAAATATAACTTAAATGAAATTGAACAATTATCTAATAATTTAGATAATATTAACTTAGAAGATAGCAATCTATCTAATAATTTGGAGTTAATAGTTGATTGCACTTATCAAAACTGAATTGAGTTTGAACATTGGCTTAAAATATTTGTATTAAATAAAGAGTAATATTTGTATTAAATAAAAAGTTTAGTTACAAGATTAGAAATAGTAAAAAGAAAAAAGCATTACACATCATGTTACTTATATGTAAGTAAAATCTGAAATACATGATCCCAAAGT